GTACACATAAGTAAAGAAAGCACTGCACTCCATAACAGCCCCAATCCAGAAACCATTTATGCTGCTTGGCATGCTTCCAGTTCCTTTTACGTGTTTTGGAGTGGACACAGTGAATTATTACCAGCTCTGAACAGGAGACTGGAGTCTACAGAATTGATTTCAAACCTTATTTAATGGGTTTATGAAATTAGTATTAAGAGGCATCATTCTCTCTGATGTAGTGCTTTTAGAGATCAGCTCCATAAGAGATGATAACAACCAATCAAGACGTTTACGAAGTTTCATAGTTTTATAGGATGTTAAGGTTGGAAAAAAAAAAGGGTATTTATATGTGTTCTGTATGTGATGGACATAGAGAAATTAAGGGCAAGCACCTTGCAGAGCAGCATGCATCTTTACAAGCAAAAAAGAAAACCACAAAAAACCCAAAACAAAACCACTGTCAAGAGGCTGGCATATAAGAATATCAGAATGAATATCTTATTTCTTACATTTAAAAGGAAACATCACTGAGTAGAAACTAGAACAAATCTTTTTTTCTCCTAAGCTCAATCTGTATCAGTGATCTAAAACATCATTTCACAGCAACAGTGCTTCATATTCTCCATTCTAACTTTTTAGTACAGCGGAACTCCCACAGCCTCTTTGCTTCACTATTTTTCTTTTACCTACTCAGCCATACTGCTTGCTTCTGCCTCTGACTACACAGTTTTCATGTTATTGCTGGAGTACGACATGCAGGCCAACCCCTCTCTTCTTAGTGCTGCCAGGAATGGGGAGCAGAAAAGATCTTAATGTAGATTTTCTAGCTCTGACACCATCCATTACTTTTATGCAGTTTCACTCTGCATCTGTCTCCTCCATGTACATCATCACTGCTCTTGCTTATCTGATTGTTGGCAGGCAAGCTGCAAGAATTACTTCTACTTTTTAAAATTTAAGAGCAAAGCTTACTCATTTGTTCAGGACAGCAGATTCTTGTCAGTAGTGGCTACAAGCTACAAGTCAATTTCTACTGCATTTCCCAGCAAAACAAGGCAGTCTGAGCCACAGAATCATAGCTTCCCAAAAGAATTAATGGGCTCTGGTTAATGATGAACAAGAGGCTATACTAAGGCCATTATAACTGACACTTGTACAAAGAAACTGTGCTATTTTAGTAATGCTTAATAAAGCTGTTTCCAGGAGAAGTGCTGAAGCTTATATCAAACATTACCACGCATACTGCATTTCATTTTAACTTCAGCAAGAGGTAGGAAGAAAACTCCACACAACAAGCTGCATTACAACATCAAAAAGCTCTCACAGCTGTAGGTTGCCAGCACAGCTCAGTAAGCTAAGCAAGCAGCTCAGCACAAGAGGAAGCAAAGCCACTGTCTTCCACAACACTTCTACCTGTGAGTTAAGGTCAGGCTGCTCTCTCCGTGTTCCATTTGCACAGAACCACTTTCCTAGAAGAGCAGCATGACTAAGGAGTGTGCATCAAGACTACTAATGTGAAAAACTAGGCGTACAGAAACTTGTGCTGTAAACTGAAAAACAGACCAGAGTAATTTACTGTGCTATACGTTCAGCAGTGGAACAGCCACAACAACTACACGTGCATACTTACAGAACTTTTCCAGTCTGGGCTACCTGAGTGGAAGGGATTCACTAACACCTGTGCATCACAGCTGCCAAACTTGCTCTATGGTTCTAACTTGGCATTTACTTCGCTTAGGAGTTTTAGCAGCACAACAGCCGAATTAACGCCGCTTCAAGAAGTGGCCGTGACCCGCCGTAAATGAGGTACAGCCTGCGACCTAACTCCTAAGCGCGTGGGGAACATCGTTAAAGACACATAACAATCCCAGGCCGACACAATCACCGAGAATAGCGAGGTGCGGCACTCTCGTAGACACCACATTTTAAACACTGAAAGCCTAACAGGAGCCCAGAAGAGCAACAGCCGGAGCTGGGACGAGCCAGAGATCGGTACGTACCGGCAATGGGCGAGTGCGCCGAGCAGTAGGGCAGCGCCGCCCCGCCGCCAGCCGGGACCAGCAGGCTGAGGTTCGTATACACGTCGTGGCTTTTGGAGTAATCCAAAACGCGCTGCGACTCCAAAAACCCTCGGAACACGCTCGAGGCTCCACCTCGGTACAGTATCAGGATGAACACGGCTTGGAAGACGAGCAGGAACAGCAGGAAGCAGGGGTTCTCCACACGGGATAGGGACATGGCTCTCGCACCGGGTGACCGCCGCGAGCCGCCGCCCGCTCGGGGCTACATGGCTGCGGCCGAGCACCTCCGCCACTCCCGGCACCGACTTGGGGAGGCGGCAGAGCTCCCCTCCGCCAGCTCAGATCCGCCCTTCCCGATTCCGCCGAGGGAAGGAGGAGCAGCTCGGCGCCCCGGCAGCGGCACGGCCCCGCTCCCTCTGCCCACCCAAGGAGCGCCCTGAGGAAAGGAGGAAAGGGCGGGAAGATGCGGCGCCGCGCGCGCCCGTCAGCATGCAAGGGGACCCGGGCTCGCCCGCCTCCCCTACGCCGGCCCTTGTAGACACCCGACCTTTCCCCCGCTCCGTCCCAGCTCGAGATTAGAACGCGGACACCCTCACCCCGCGGTAACCGTCCCTCACGGCCCGCCCGCTCCTTCCGCAGAGACTACAGCTCCCAGCACAGCGGGATGGGCGGGGCTGCCGCGGGGCATGCTGGGAGCTGTAGTCATCGCCCTCAGGTGCTGGTCCGCCCGTTCCATGCCCAGCGCCCTGTGGTGCAGCCCCTGTCCCTCACCCCCAGCTGCCCTCCCCTGACAGCTCCATGCCGTTCCCTCAGGCCCTGTCGCTGTCACACAGAGCAGAGCTCAGCGCTGCCCCTCCGCTCCCTGTGAGGAGCTGCAGCAGCTGTAGTACTTGTTTTCATTACTTAAAATTCATTGGGGAAGTTAGTGTGATGGTAAATAAAGAAAACACACTGAGAAAAGGAGGTGGTGGTGGTGAGGTGTGGGTTGGCCGCTTCTCCCAGGTACCAGCAATAGGATGAAATAGGATGGCCTCAAATTGCACCAAGGGGGGTTCAGGTTGGGTATTGAGGCAGTGGCACAGCTGCCCAAGGAGGTGGTGCAGTCTCTGTGCATGGAAGTGTTCAAGAACCTTGTAGATATGGCACTGAGGGATATGGCTTAGTGGGCATGGTGGGGATTGCTGGTTGGACAAGATCATCTTAGCGCTCTTTTTTAACCTTCACGATTCTATGATTCTTTGAGCTTGGGCAAGGCTTGTCTGTCTCCATCAGTTTCTGAGGCAGAGAGAAGCAGGTCATTTTGGAACAGATCTGCACCGGCAGCTCTGATAACTTTACTGGTGGTGCAAAAATTGCCATCTTGTGCCTTTCTGGGGCGCAATGAGCATGTCAGCTGGAAAAACAACAGCTTGACCCAATCTTTAGTTCAGCCTATGTTATATATATATGCTCTCATGACTGGAAAACTAATGTATAGCTTAATTCTGTGCTAGCTGGGGAGCTGAATCTCCACGAATGTCTCTTTCAAGGCACCTCAAAAACCAAATGTGAGAATTATCATTCCTCTCATTCCCCTTCTCCTATGGCCACCAAAATTGGTGAATCAGAACCCACCACAAGTCTACAAAGTGCAAACAACGTCATGCAAGAGAGCTGAATGCAGATCAGAACTTCACGGTACCAGCAAGGCCAAGTCTCTTCAAGGTCACTGCACTCCTATTTTTTCCCCTGACGTGAAAGGCTAGGAGAGATTTGAATTAAAAATGAATTGGGTTGCTTAAATGAAAAAAATAACTGTCTTCACTGAAGCATGGAGGATAGTTGGCAGGCATTTTAGCAACCCCTGTGCACAGATGTATTGAGGGCAGTGATGGAGTAAAACAATGTTGGACTGGATCAGTAAGGCACAGGAACAGAGCTGTCTTGACAGCCAAAGGTCTACCTTTCTCATTTTCACATGTCCACCCGAGAAATTAAATGAATGCATAGGGAAAAAAAGGCAAATACCATCTTCAACAGAGCTTGAAATTAAGTTTGTGCAGGAGGCTCTGGATGTCCCAGGGGAGGGGCGCTTCCCCTCCCTTTAAGTGTAATTTCACCTCCAATCAGCCTCAAATATGATGAGAGACAGAGAAGTACTTCACCATTTAGTACAATTCATTCTCTTTTGCTCTTTCCCCTCCTTCTGCCCGTTATGCCTTGGGACCTGCATCACTTCCCTGTTGAAAATGCATCAGGCTGCCTGGCAAGCTTAGCTTTGAAAATGTAAGGCCCCAGGAGGGGGAGAACAGCATGTTGGGGTGACACCAAGCAGGGTGCTCAGGTAGAGCCAGAGTCAGTGTGTCCTGCCCACTGCTCTGCCTGACCCCCAGGGTTTTTAATCAAGGAAAGAGGAAAGCAGCATTACATTTAGTAAAGACATTGCAGAGGATTTCAGCCACCGCTGAACAAGCAGTGCCATTCCTCTTTTTGTGGGGGTGGCAGTTTTTTTTCTGGTAGGGTGAACATTTCAGATGCCTCTGGCCACTGCAGTTGTTTCTCAGCCTTTCAGAGAAGAGAAGGGAAAACCAGGAGACTGGAGTATTTTCCCTGTCTGGTCCCACTGGTCTGACACATAATGCCTGCAAGACATTCTTCCCAATGAATTGCACCCTATAGGGACTGGCACAAGGAACTGAAGCAATGTGCTTCAGTTAGGAAGCACATAGTTCAGGTTAAGGTGTCCAGACCTTGTAGTGCCCTTCTTCACCCTGCTGGTGTTGCTCCTGCACATCTCTAGGAGATGCAATAGGCTGCAGTGCACAGGACCACCTTCACCTCCTCAGTCTCAGGGACATGAAATGGTTTTGCTTGAACTTCTCTTGCAGCATCTGGGTAGGTGAAGACTGAAGAGAGTACTGTTGGAATGAGAAGAACTACAGCAGACACATTTTCCATTATAGAGTGCACTGTGTTTTCCTGGAAAAGAAGCAAGGCCTTATGTTGCAAGACAGAAAATGGTGCAATATTCACATCATATTTAATAACGCTCTTGTACCATTCAATATAAATAAATAACCATTAAAAATTACTTCCTTGACATTCTCCTTCCTCTTTCAATAGTATTTTCTACAACAGGAAATGTTAGGAATATTTATTGGTTGGTGAATTGGATGGATGTCAGAGAACATGAATATCAGATACTAATACGCTAGTAAAAAAAACAGGTACTGGGATGCCTTCTCTTTAAACATTTCAGGCTTGATGTGCAGCATCCCTCCTTTATTGTATCCCTTGTTCACTTTCCTCAAAGCTTGTAACTTCTGCTGAGCTCTGCTAGCAAAAAGCCCTCTGAATTTGTGCTGTCTGTCCTCACCTACCCTTTGCTGCTGCACCCTGCCTGGCAGCAGTCCTCACTGTCTTTAGTCTGCTCTACAGGGTATTTGTAAAAAGAGTATTTGTGCTGGAGTGTTCAGAACATCTGTTAGCCTGAAACAACAGCTGCGTGCACCACACAGTCCATACAAGGTCTCAGTCCTATACAATTTAGCATCTGGCAGAATTTCCTGATTCACAGAATCCCTCCTCCATAGGGTCAGGCTGCTGTGAGACTGGTGTGTGACAGGGCTGATCTTGTGAGCAGCTCAGAGCACTGAGCGACAGTGTGCTCCTATCACTGCAATCCGGGGCCCCAGGGGGAAAAATAGGAACAATTATTTTGCTTTTATATAGAGAGACATCATCTCTAAAAGCATATATGCACATCCTTTGCAATGAGAGCATACCCTCGCTACAAACATCCACCTGCAGCATCAAAATCCCAAGTAGGATATCCTTGATACTGAAGGCCAGGGAATTAATTACCATATCCCCTCCTTTTCATACGGGTAGAATCCCTACCCATCTGGGAGGGGAAAATGGAAGATCATAAATAGACTCCTTTATTCTCTTGCTCTTTGCTCACGGATTAAAACCACAAAGAAGGGGACAGTCTTCTATTAATGGTGAGTGGGATCATTAAGCCAGTCTTTCCGCTCAGTGGCAGGGATGGGTCAGCAACACCCACTGGAGCACAAGGCCCATTACCTCATGCAAAGAGGCCAGGGCACGAAGCTCTGACAAACAGAGAATGAAAAGTGCTTGTCAGGAGCCAGGCTTCCTCCATGCTACCCAGGTCACATATATGCCAGACTTTACACTTGCTGTGTAAAGACCTTTCTGGGGTCACAAGAAGGCACAGTTTTTATGGCCCATTCAGTACTACTTCAGTGCTGAGACAGTTTGCAGGGAGGCCAGGCCACACTGAGCACAACCACCCTCTCTCTGCTCTCAGCCTCCTCCTTGTTTCCTCATGCCTTCCTCCCCAGTGGGAGACATCTCACTCCCTTTGCCCCCTCATGCACTCTAATCTCACTCCCACAGCAGGATGTCTGCATGCTAGTTCCACACTAAGGGAACACAGATCAACAATCAGATATCCTTCCAAGAGCCCCCTTCACGAATGCCTCCCAACATCCCATGGGGACTATCTACTTGATTGAGGCACTCCTTCGCACATGTTTTTACCTCACCATGATTGCTCAGGAGCCAGAAACTTAGTGCCACCCACGTCTTTTGCATAAAGGAATAACAGTTCCTTTTGCTGTACTTCCCTCCTTGCTGTGTTTTTGATTATTTTGCTAGCTTAGGATGCCATTGTAAAGAAACCCCAGACAGCAAGAAGCATAAAGACATTCAGAAGTGAATGCCAAGCTCTGTTATTCTGTGAGCGTCTGGGGTGAGAGGGGAATTGTTCTTTCCTCATGAGTATGTCAGATGACCTAAGTTAAAAAACAAAGTGAAGCAAAGAACGGGCAGAAAAGATTGCAGTATAAATAAATCAACAAATAAACATATCCTGCCAGCCCAGAGTTTCTTGGGCAGGGGGTGGCTTGATTGCTCATGATTTTTCTCAGGCTATCAAATCCTTGATGCATTTTTGAATGCTTGAAGCCTTGTTCCTCACAGCCTGAGTGAAGATGGTTGGCAAGGTGTGCTCAGAGAGGTTTTCGGGTCAGTCAGGAAATCTTCCTGCAAAAAGTCAGAGAGACATTTCTCCCCATGCACACATGGTACAAACACTTGTGCTTTTAACCCAGTGCATTCTTCCTTTGGTCCTCATTTGCCACCTACTGGTCCATAGGCTGCCTTATGTTTTATCAAAGGAAAGGAAAACCGTTCTAGATAACGCTGTCTTTTCTCCCTCTTCACAGGGCCAAACGTGCTATCAGAATTCAACTGGAAACTTGACAAGTGAAATTGCAAATGATTACATCTGTGTGCTCAAGATACGTTTCCCAATGATGATCCCTTTTCGACGTTTCTCGATGTTCACACAGGAGACGACTGCAAGCTCAGCGTTCTTTTCCTAAGCACTTCTCACCCACCTCCACTCCAGAAAGGTGTCTTTCTCCCTGGAGGTTTAGAGAACAAATCTGTATTCATGAATTGAGGCTACTAAAGTGCCTAATGGTACTGCAGAAGGAACAACATTTTCAGGTCCACTCATCTCTGCCCCTGCTTGACACTCTCCATACTGGGACATGGAGGGATGGCCTCTGAGGTGCAGTACCTGCCAGGTCACCCTGAGCAGGAGACAAACTTCATCCAGAAGGCACTGGGCCTGGGAACTGGGACAGCATTTTCCAACACAACCTGCAGTCAGGGCAGTTCGAGTTCTCAGCTGAGGCACTTCTGAACTCCTAAACCCAAAATGAGGGCTTCCAGCACAGCTGTTTCCCCAGTACCAAAAGCTGATCCATGCGTGTATCTGAGGGGGAGCCTCTCTCAGGCTAGCTTTGCTTTTAAGCTATTCTCACTGAGAGCATACCTCAGACTAACAGATCCACATCTGTGCTTTTGCAACAACTCCTGTCCTTGAACCACAGCAGCTCACAGCTGCTGTCCCAAAGTTCAGGTTTCACAGTATGCCAAGAGGGATCTTCAGAGGCACCCGCACCCGTGGTGGATTTCAGCCTCTGTGCTGGCACAGCAGGGAATGGAGATCATATCTAAAACGTTTCCTGTTTCATGAATAGTTAAAAGCACAGTGCCCACAAGGGAAGGGAGGCACACCTCTCAGCCAGTGTATGGAGTCAAAGTGGAGAGCTGTAGGATCACAGGGAATGCATCCACTCTGTCCCTGCTCATTGCCACCTTCTGGGGAGCAGGAGCTGATCGATGTGGCTACATTCGGGGGCATTTAGCATCCTCCAGTGGTAGAACAGACAGGGTGCACAGTTGCTGTGGCTGCCAGCAAGCTTCAGAACAATCACTGCCCGCTGCCTCTGTTAAAACAAACACAAGGTGAAGTAAGAAAGAGATAGAAATCTCAACATCATGTCAAGTAGATCAGGGCAGGAGAGGCGTTCAAAGAGAGTTGTCCCCTGGCTCAGGTATACACTAGGTAGCATCACTAACCAGGTTTCTCAACCTTACAGCCGCAGGCTGGGGATGCAGCCAAAATGCTGTTTGTTCTATTTGCACTGCAGGGTCCTAGCAGGGATGTTCTATTTATTAATTAGTAAAAGGTTTTGAAGGATTTTTTTCCCCAGTAAAATCATTATCTCAACCTCCTTTTTTTGTTGCCTTTTTTGTTTGTTTCTAAAGAAAGAAGATAAGATTTGAAGAACCCTGTTCAATCTGTTTAGAAGCTCTGAAATGGAGGTGAGTTTCTTTCCCTATTTCCAAAAATCTCAAGGCAGCAGAAGTCCTAAGTGAGCTCATCTCTCTCCGATAGCTGTAAACACATGGTAGCAAAAAGAACAAGTAAGTTTTATAACACCAGGCTTGAATGACAGTTTTCAGGGCTTTAGCAAAGAAAAGATAGAGAGCAAAATTAATCCCCACCTCTGCTCTCAGGAGCCACAGTCTGTTTTTCTAGGGAGTGTGGTTTCAAACGAGTTTTCAAAGACGTAGACTGGGAAAGGTTTTAGATCTCACCCAAGATCCTCAATCCCAACACATCCAAGATCAGCCCTAATGGCTCTCAGGGTGGAAAAATCAGAACTCTAGTGTAAGGAAAAGAATCTTTGTTAAAAAAACATTGAGCACTCCTTTTTCATTTTGTTCTTATGAAAAGGCAAACTGTGCCACATGCCTTATTTTCCCCTCTCTGTAGGTCTGCTCTGATGGAGTATTCTCCCCATGACTCATGAATACTGCTGTGGTTCAGCTAGACACAGCCAAGGGCAGCGGGAATGCTGGCAAAAAAGAAAGCAGGCTCCAGCTGGGACAAAATAACCACTATTTATGCAGTACCTGCTGAAGCCTGATCTTTGCAGTTTACACAATCAGCGGATCCCTTCACAGTGCATCTGTGGCAACCCAGAGAGCAGAAACATGTGCCAAGAAACAATGTATGTGGTCTAACTGGTGATTAATAGAGCACCAAAACCCACAAGCACCAAAGCCTGGCTCACGTCCACAGGTGCTGAAGGGGAAAGGGATTTCTGAAGGTCTACGACTCACCTAGCCTGATTTGATCCTCAGTGAGGACAAGCTCCCAAGAGAAAAAGACAGAAACATTCTCCCCATTGCATCTAACAACAGAACATTCTCAGGGGATGAATTATACCTCTTTTCTCAGCACTAGCTCATCTAGATTGTGTCTGTCAGGCTTCTGAAGCTCAGCAGCCTCAATAGTAAGAGCCTCCAAAATTCAGTATAGCTGTCAGCAGAGGTATCAATTTAAAGCTTCACAGGGGGTGTGGGTGTGGAAGCTGATGATTTTGCTTGACTGCTCCCAGCTGCATCCACTAAGCTTCTCAGGGCAGCATATCTAATTTGAAGGTGCCTCCTGGAGTGGATGCCTCCTGCTCACTGGGGTCAAAGCAGCTGCCCCACAGGGCAAGTGATGATGGAGGAAGGGTTGTGGGCACGTTTTCCACTAACGCAACTGGAAAAGCTCTTTTAAAATACACAGAGTTGACTGAACGCAGATTCTGGCTTGAAGACACAGGAGAGAATGGCTCTGGAAAAGGGTGTTAGTAAATAAGTGGCTGTGTCTCCATCTCCCAGATCAGTTGGTTCCCTTTCCCACAACAATCTACAGAGAGCCATTCTCATGAGCATCTAGATGGATGGCTGAGTGTTTGGCCATGGAGATGGGATGAGGATGAAAGAGAGATACATAAATGCTGCATTCATTAAAACATCATGTCTACTCTCTGCACCTGTTGTGAAGCAGTTACCCCCTCCTCTAGTGATTAGGCAAGAACTGGTAAGTAGCCTTACCTGTCTGAGTGCTGTTAAGCTTGCTTATCCTTTACAGAGTTAACTGGAGTCCTTATGAGCTGAACTTGGACAATTGCACCTTTAGTTTGGAGCAGACCCAGCATGGCTGGATCTGTAATATGAACCCATTACTGGTAATGGATCACACAGAAGTAAGGTTAAGAGAGGTGCTGCTGCCTAAGCACAGGTCTAGCATGATCTTACGATTGCTAGTATATTTGAGATTTTTATGAAAAACTAGCAGGTGTGATAGAGTTTGTGCCCTACAGGAAGGTCAGGTAGGATGCCCCAGTGTCCCTGGGCGAGAGCAGGTTCTGCATTTAGGCAGCTGTATCCCATGTCTGCTGTCAGCTGTTGGATGCACAGTCCTGGGATTGCTTTGCCCCTCGTATGGCTGTCACTTGGAAGACGATGGGATGATGTGGAAATGCTGAATGCAGCTACAAACAATGCACACCAGATTAGTGCAGAAATTGAAACATGCGCATATGTCCACATACTGGGCAGTCAGTTTTGCCTCCCCAGGACAGCTCAGATAAATATTGGGGTCAGGACTGAAAACAGCCCTAGAATATCTTCCAAAGTAGGAATAAATCATTCAGCATCCTCTGTCTGACCACAAGTAGAAATCATTACAGAAAGAGCTTGGTCCTCCTAAGTTAGCAACTTTCATTCTTTTGGAACATTTGGGGTAGCAGTCTGCCAACAGCAGACATTAAGATCAGAAAGCATGACAGCTGACAGAGGAGGTCATGGCTCCTATGAAGCCTGTCCATCATCACTTTCTAAGAACATATCACTGAATTCTTATATATTCATACCCTCACCTATAGAAGATGCTATAATCCCTCCTCCTGCTGCTGAACTTTGCTCTGTGGACTGCGTAGGCAATTTTAGTGCCTGTTTTCCCTCATCAGCAGATGTATTCCTAGCTCTGGTAATGCTGATAACGAGTTCCTCAGATCATGACAGTCTGCATAGGTTCCTGTTTTGAGATGGTCTCAGTGTCTACCAATCCTTCCACGCAGCATCCACACCGTGAAAGTTCATGTGAGATAGAAGCTGAATGTGGATAGATGGAGCACTGCAGAGGTGGTGAGGCTGGTGGGGCAATGATCTCTTTCCACTCATTGCAGAATAATTTCCCATGAAAGGAAGTTTTTAAACCTGTCAGAAACTGGGGAGCAAGGAATGTGGCCTACCATTGCTGCGGTAAACCATGAGATTCTTCTGTTGTTTTTCTCTGCCTGTATGCAAGCAAAGCTTCCGTGGAGACTGCATGGAGGCATAAATGCACACAGAATGCAGACAGGCAGTAAAGATGAGGATCCACTTCTTGTGTAAAGGGTGACACGATAAGGAAGATATCAGGGCTACCGTATATGCTGTATTATTTCTTGAAAGAAATAATAACAAAAGTAAAGAAACATGCACAGACTATTTGCCTTGCCAAAACCAATAAAGACAAGGGTACTCACACTGGGGAGCTGTCTCTCTGCTTACACCTCCACCCTGGGGTCTGTAAATCCACGCTTGCCTTCGTTAACCAGAGTTGGCCTCTCAGTTCTTGTGTGCCAGACCAACACCTATAGAGAACCAAAAATTGTTCAGGGCTCTGATGCGTGAGAACAGGAATCAAGACAGGGTCTGGGGGAGGCTTTACAGGTGTATGAAACAATGACAGGTAAAAGAGAGCCTTTTGGACCAAAACCCCGCTCAACCCTCTCCTGGGTCTCCTAAGCATGAATTGCATGGAAGAGGCTCTTTATTAGAGTGCATGGCACTAGATGCTCCTCAGCACTCCCTGAGCCTCTCATCTGCATAGCATTTGGCAGGCCATGCCTGTCTGGCACGGTTTGGAGCTGAGGTGCGCTGGCAGAAAGCAGGCACAGGGGAAGATGAATAGAGCATGGCAGGAGGCCATGAAAGCCGCCGGGATTTAGAAAGGGAGATATATTTTCCAGGTCTCTTGTCCTGCTCACCTTTGTGCAGTTGGCTGCTTTGGGCTCCAGCCCATCCATAGTCACTAAATCCTTCAGCAGACTGGTTTCCTGGTAGCCTCCTTTAACTCCCTCCAGCTTGAAACTGGCTTGAGGCTTCTCCAAGATCAGCTTGATGCTGATAGCAAATCCAGCCATGTCAATAGCAAAGGGCCGATTAGGGTCAAAGACGGTTTTCCATCCCACCACCTTCCCAGCTGGGCTCAATTTTGGGGATTCATACCGCAGCCCCCCAACAAACGCCACCGGCCAGACTGACACCCTCCTTGTGTAGCGCATCTGTGTGGCAGAAGGAAACAGTGCTGTGAGAATGTAACTCTACGATGCTTTTCCCAGCCCATTAGTATGCCATCCTCTGTTTTTATTGGCACCCGTCCTTCCTTGTTGACTTCATCTGCAATTACATGGCTCTAGGCAGCACAGGCTGAAAGTGGCTCTGAGCAATCCGATCTGCTCAGTGCAAGGAGTTGGACCAAATGACCTTTAAAGGTCCATCCTGAAATGACTCTATGATTCTGGGAAAACCTGTGGTTTGCTGATTTCATCCGAACTTTTATCATTTTTTGTTAATAACTCCACTCACTCCACCCTCATTCAAGTAACCTCCCTCCCTGATGCACCTTTGTCCTCCTTTACTGCAGCTTTCCCTCATCCTTACTCTTCCATCCACAGCTACTTCTTAGAAGAGCAACTGAAATTACTGAAATTGTCATAAAAAGGACTTGGAAATAAGTCCTTTTAAAAAAGGATGAGCTTAGCAGCCACCTAAAAATTCTGAAAACTGGAAATGTGTTCTGAGGCATAACATGGTATTTTGACTGGCGTATAACAGCCTGGCTTAATTTGGTGACAAGGGAATTTACTGAATAATCATTTTTGCAAGTTTGTGATAGATTTGGCATCTCACAAAAGCCAGATTTCCAACAAAAGTCTGGGCAAGGTTCTATGATCCCAGGGGCACAGCTCTGCTGTGGTGGCTGGAATTCAGGAGGACAGGAAAGGACAAAAAGTCTATTAGAAAGTCAGTAAACGGTTCTACTACCCCCTGTTCATCACACTCCTACCAGAGCACAGATTTATGCTTTGCCAGAAGTTTATCATTAGTGCTTATTTAAATCAAGTCAGTTCCCCCTGAGGAGAGGTACATATTCTGGGGTATATATACTCTGATCTCTATGGAAACAAACCTGGCAAAATGAAGCTGCAGTTGGAACAATGTTATGTGAGCGGCTACTCACGTCTGCAGCCTCTACCATGGCAGATGTGCTCTTTGCTCTTTCAGCCCTTCAGAGGGTGGCTACTGGTTCAGCTTAACTGTGGGTTTGTAGGGCTTATATCTGCCCTATACCCAGCTCCCACAGACAGCCAAGATAGAAGGGCTCCAGGCAGCTTGCCACAGCTCATACCTCCCAGTTAATGACTAAAGTGCACATGGTAGCCCTGTCTTACAGGTCTTAGAGGCCTACAGCCTCTAAGTTCTGTCCTTAAGAGGCTTTTGCATTTGTATTCTGTTGTTCTGTCCCATATAACTTTATGGCTCTTACCTCTTCAAACAGCTCCAGGCTGTAAGTGTTATCATCATCAGCAAAATACACTACCCCTTCTGGTGGTGCTGTGTTGCTGAAGCTGTCCCTCAGCCAGTGAAGCCCCAGGTTCCTCTGCAGTGTCCCCCGTGGGGTGTGGGATGGGATCCAGGACAGCCCCAGCTTCAGGCTCTTGGGTGTCTCCACATTGAGGTGGGTGAAATTGAGGCCTGCCTTCTCCAGCAGATTGGACACTAGGTTGGTCCTTCGGGGTGAGTCCTCCACCACCACCCAGTGCAGGTTCTGTACATGCAGGAAGGTGTTGGCCAGCCGGGTCAGCTCAGCTTTTTGCACTGGCCGTGTGTAGGTAGGGGTGATAACGAATATAGTCGGCAGGGTGTCTGACCATGGGGGAGGCCTGGAGTACACATAATTCTGGATGACTTTAGGTGTCGCCCCTATGCTCTGCTGCTGGCGAATGCATGACGGGAAGCCTTCTTCTCTCAGTGCAGACGTGCCATTGAGGAGAGCTTTAGAGGTCACGTTCTCATCTGTGTCTTCTGAGACAAAGGAAGGAAGAAGAAAGACGTTAGAGAACTGAGCGCTGCAGAGCTGCCACCTCTCCAGGGGATGCTGAGGACTTATCTTTCTGAACTCAGTGCTGAGCACATCAGCTTTCTCTCTCTAAAGCTAAGCTAAGGAGCATGTTTAACATACTCTTAGGAAAAATTTGGGTGTGTACTGCAGGCAAGTTTGGTCCCACGAGAGTGAGTCTTCTATGGAAGACTCACACCAACAATCGTCACAACCACAAGCACATTGACAGCAGAGCTCTTGCACTTACTTCTCAGCAGGCTGAGGTAGCGGGTGGTTGGGTACTGGTGCCACAAGGTTAGGAGAAGAGCCCATGGCAAGACAATCAGGAGCGTAGTAAGAAGGTTTCGTCTCCTCAGCATGCTGCAGAGAGCTTCCAATACCCAGGCATCTCTCTACCTTTCAGAACAGAGGAAGGAGTAAGAACTCTGAATTATCAGTAATAAAAAAAAACAGTAGGAGAGTTAAGTCTACAGGCCAAATAACCACGATCAGTTTGCTTGGAGGGAAGCATGATAAATGTTGGGTTCTGATCTAGCAAAGTATTCATCTAAGGTTAGGTTCACAAAGAGCCCCATTAAAGTTACAGGCCTAAACCATCATCCAGTTGCCCTGGCCAATTCCTGTGCTACTGAACAGTAGTTATTTATCTGTTTATGTTGCTGTAAAGCACCTCCTGCAACCCCACAATGAACCCACTGTCCTTGACTTAGAGTTCACCTTGCAGAATCTGAGGCCAGAAAGGACTGTTACTTGCTCCCTTCCCAGGGGGAATATTCATTCCTGAGCTTAGAGGTGAGCATTTAATATGCTTGTCCTGTAGGCTTTTTAAAAGCTACATGCAAGACTTGCATTCCTACGTAAGCAAGTGGGCAAAACCAGAAAATGTCAAGATGCCCAGCATCTCCTTCAGACCTGTGGTTTTATTTCGTCCTTATACAGATGCATTGCTGCAATCAGTGATGCACATTACTGCATGCTAAGTTTTGCCTCAGTCATTTCACAGTGCTGGTGATGCTTGCTGCAAGTTTAATTATTCCATGTGCCTTTCTACCCCTGGATTGCTATATTTGGCCACTACAGAATTTAGTTTAAATTACAGACTTCAGAATAATTTCTGTCTTAGTATTTCTGTAGTGCACATGACTAAGAGATCTGAGGAATTGAAACGGTTAACATTTGTTTTCAAAGCTACTTCTATAAAGTGAGAAAAACTAAAGGGAAATAAAGAGAAATTAAGGACAAAAATATCAGGAATAAGTAACAAGAGGTGGCTTATTTATAGATGGCCTGAGCTACAGTAGCCCTGTGCTTGATTGTTCACTTGATTGTTCACAGTTGTTGAGCACTTTCTGCTCTCACTGTAAGAAGTCAGTCTGCCTGGAAATGAGATCTGTGGCTGCTTGATGTAGGCATGCCTTCAACAAAATACACAACATTAATGATTAGTTTGAAAAATACAGACTGAAGTACTTCTACAAGCTATTTGTTCAGGGACATAACTCAGTGCTGTGTAAAGCCAGGAGGTGATGAGAACCCAGTCCTAGCTCTCCTGTTTGCAAAAGCCTTAACAGCTTGTGTACCGTCATAAGAGCATGAGATCCCAGAGATGATTTCTGGAAGGCCAGCATCAAATGTGCTCACTTAGTGCATATGGTGCCTTCTGTATGACTGTGACACAGCCAGGAAGGAACACTCTCCTCCAACTTCTAGCTTCTGCTTTAGTCTCTCTATCAGTACAAAATCTCCCACACACCAGAAACCAGAGCAGTGTTTCAGAAAGAGGGATCCACTTGTACTGCTGCAAAACAGTGGAAGCACTGAACAGCACAGAGCAAAGTCACGTGTTGTCATCTGAAGACTTTTTGTTTTCTCTCTAAGCTGGTTGCCTGATGTTTGATTGAGATACGCTATTGCTAGATTTTCTTCCTCTCTCCTTCTTGGTAACATCTGTAATCATTTTCCTCTAGGACTCCTTTCTAATGCCAAATACTCCTCCTGGTGGACTTCCTCCCTGTCACAGCGATGTTCACTAAGAGGCTGAAGGGAGTATAAAACCTCCATTTGTCTCCTGCAGAGAGATTTCTTTTGAGAAACAGCAGCCACACACCCTGCGGACTGGAGAGCTACTGTATGGCACAGCCCACCAGGCCCTCTTGCTCTCCTAGGCCAAACGCAATTCAAGGGAGAAGGGCTATGGCATCATGTTCATACAAAGCAAGGGAAGGAGGTTCAAAAGGGTTGGCTTTAAATTCCAGTTCTGTAGTGGGCTTCCAAGGTGTACTGAGGCCCAGTTATCTAAAACCTAACTCTTTTAAGAGACACATTACATGGAATGCAAAGGAAATTCCTTGCCCTCAATCTAGGCTCAGCCTACGGAAGGACTGCACTTAGAGAACTGTGTGAGAAGAAACACAACTACCAGTGATAATCCTTAATGCTCCTTACTGCACATTCAGGGAACACTGTGCTGGCTCGTCATCTATTTTCAAGCTATGGAAAGCAGACCGGGGTGCACAAATGTGCCACCAAAGAAATCCAGGCCCTAACAGAGAAGGAGGACTCTGGACTACCTCAGAATAGCAGCAGATGTGTTAGGTCCACCCTGGCTCCTCACTTCCTCTCGGATGCCTACAATTACAGATGGCCCTGCATTAGATCATGCAGCCACCGCTTCTTCCCTTTGATAAAAGGCCTTAATTAAATAGGCACAGTTTCTGTGCAGCTCAGGTCACTCCTGGAGGGAAGAAGAGGAAGCGGCTATGGCAGCTGTGTTACCAAAAAGCACAGAGGAGCGCAGATTCCCTTTCTAATTCTTTCCCCTTCTCCTCACATCCAGCCCCTTTCATGCTTCCCAAATGCTGCAAACAAGCAGAGATGCTGCCTGTGTGTGCAATTCCCCTGGTGCTCTTATTTATTTCTACGTGCACCATCTCTCAATTGCCTTTCTGCAGCATGCAGCGCTGAAGAAGGTAAGCCTCACACAAAGCACCAGGTCCCTTGTGAACCTCACAGGGGAGTCTGACTTTAATCACGTTTTCAGAAAATCCACCTTGGGATATGATATTTTCTCTTAAAGATCTTATCTCCTCTCCCCTCCTGCTGCCCCCTGCATCCATCATGCTTATGCTCTTTTGTTCCTTTCTATGTTTTTCATCTTCCTTTTTTAAGTCTTTAAGAGTTTTTCTTCTTCCCTGTTTCCAGGACTACAAGAATGCCCTGCCTACTGGTACTTTAAAGTAGCCTTTGCCTTCTCTCCGTCCCCACACAAAGATCTTTTGCATTTGTTTGCCCCACAAGGAATATTTCCCTCAAAGTGTCCATTAAAGCATCAGCCCATCCTCTTGAAAACACAGCATCAAAACACAGCCACATGCCAATGCCTCTGGGTAGCTTGTTGATGGCCCCAGTGGGGCTTCTGAAGGTTTACTGCACATATTTTTACCTACATTTTATAATTAAAAACAAAGTCCCCTAAGTGGCTCAGATTAATTGCATGCCTGGCTGGCAGGCATTACCCTGTGTTTTCTTGGCACAACCAGCTACTTCCCTTCTGCCTTTAAACCCATTCAGAGCAGATCCCATTAAATGAGGCTCAAGATCACAAGAAAAATCTGTGATCACCTAAACCAATCTCCAGCAATCATCTCGTAATTCCCGGCTTTAAGCTGTAGAGGGCAGGGACTGTCTCTTAATGTGATCACACAGTGCTGCACTGATCCCAACAGGAGCCTTCCGATGTGCCTGCAGTACAAATATTATTGACTGCACTCTTCTCCTCCCTTGCTATTTCCCCTGTCCTGCCTATTCCCCTTTCTTCTCCCTCTTTTTTTTTAACTAGTGTCTCCCTCAGCCCTTGTTTGTGTTACACACCTGTAATAACGTTAGCTGGATGTTTGATGGATGCCTTCAATATTCTGCTTGTAGCCTTCTTGAGATGTTTTCCAATTACACATCTCTCTTCTTAATTTCATCCATCAATCTTTCATTCTCCGATAAAAATAAACACATACACACAGAGTACAAAGCTGAGCATGATAGGGACAAAATGTTTCTGGTGCTACTCTTGGCTCCTGCTGTTTTGTCAGATTTCTCAATTCCTGAGACACAACAGCATCCAATCTCTGTTTAAGCCGACGTGCTGATGTAGGTGGAATTAATCTGAAAGGATTGGGGAGAGAGTAAAGAGAGAAGCACACGGAAGAGCCCAGCCCTAGCTCAGATTCCCCAGCCTGGTGTGAAGAGCATGATCTGTCTGAGGCTCGAAGCATCGCACATGACCGGTGTCTATGTCTGTTAGTATCACACAGAGCTTGGGAACTCTGAGATTTCAGTTCTGCTCCCTGCCTGTCTGATTCTGCATTAGAATTACACCCTGCCCAAGAAAGATTATTTCTGCAGCCAGAAGTAGCCAGTCTGTATGACCCGGGTTTGCAGCCTCTGAATGCTAGAGCCCCAGGGCTATCTGGCTGCACCGTCAGACGCTCTGCACTCTACACTGTTTTCCAAAAGAGACAAACTTCACAGCTCCAACTGTCCATAGGAACATCCAGCAAACGAGCCTAGAGTCTTTTTTAGGCAAGCACCCAAAGCAAACTAGCTGCAGCTGTTTGCAGCCCTTCCTGCGTATCCCAGGAGGAATGAACGAAAAAGGATGGGGATGTGGGGAGCAGAGAGGGGCAGAACTGGAGCAGAGCTGCCCGCAGGGTACAGATGCCTCTTCATTTCATGAGCCAAAACTGTCAACAGGGTTTTGAGTTTGTTTTGCCTGCATTTTGCTGCCTCTCCCCATCAGCCCCTAGCCACCTTGAGGAAGTCCATGCAGATTTCATGAGTTCCCTAACTCCCGGTGTGGGAGATGTGATGCTGAAGGCAGAGCGGGGAGCTTTCAATTATTAATGAGAGCGACCTCTCTTTAAACAAGGAATGCATAATTCATGGCAGGGCCGGTATTTGTGGTGATCAGCAATGGCTCTGTCTGTGCTTTGCTGAAATCCACAGGAAGCTGCTGTCCCCTCTCCCGCAGTCCCTCGGGTCCATCAGAGCCTTCAGCTGAAACTTCAATAGTGCTTAAAATCGCGACAAGCAAGGATGCTGCACTGGGCAGCCTCCTGCCTGTTACAGATGAGCTCAATAAAGTGTGAGGATGGATCCAGGGAAGCACGGAGATGGGTCAATAGGTTATTGCTCTGGGATAAGAAGGGGTAATTACTGCACAAGCACAGCCACCACAGGACATTTCTCAGCAGTGGGACTCCAGCCCTGAAACAGGTCTGCAGGCACGGCATCGGTGCTGGGCGGAAAGGACAGATCTGAAGGACAGCATCTATGGGCTCACACCAGCAGCATTTCTTGTGGAAACAAGGGGAGAAGGGAGGTTTGGCTTCTGCTCAGGAAAT